GTTTCCAGTATAAGGAAGTAAAAAAATAGAAGCAAGAGAGTTGAGAGTATATTTAAGGGGATGATTATAAACTTTTTACTAATTTAAGTACTAAGGTGAGTAAGAATACGAGGGAACAACCAAGATGGCGGCATAGGTAAACACCTGTACTTGTCACCTCTCACAACCACATCAAAACTACAACTAAAAGACAAAACAATTATCATCCAGAACTGCGGGAAAGCTGGCTGAGTGGAAGTTCCACAACTAGAAGGAAAGAAAAAAGCGCACTGAGACTGGTAGGAGGTACGGAAGTGCAGAGGCGCGCACAGAATGGGCTGGCAACTGGGTGCGCTGTTGTTTTTTTCAATCTTGAGGGAGATAGAAGCTCCCAATTGCTCTGAACTCCAGTTCCAGGTGAGATTCTGGTGACCCAGGCCCATACGGGGAGAAACTGGACTGTCTGGCATCGGGCCAGAATGCAAGGGCAACTTTCTCTCAGAAATGCTCCCAACGATCATTGCTCCTGCACAGGGGGATCCAGACGTGGAGATGCAGGGAACTCTCCAGTGCAGGGCTGACTGGCAGCCATTGCTGTTTGCTCTGTCCTGGTGATTTCATGAGACCCTGCCCCACCCAATTTACAACCCCACCCAAGCTGTGCACAGCGGATTTTGCATATGAATGTCCTGTCCTTTCTCAGCTTAAAACCTGTCAAATTGCAGCAGGGTCAGAGAGCCCCAGAGCTTCCAAAAGAAGGCCCAAGGCCCAGCAGCAGCAGCCTGCCTTGCTTCACAGCTGGGCCTCATTTCAGCACTTCCAAACCCCATACAAAGAGGAGGAACCTGCAGATCTTTCTGTAGCTCCTGATGGGTGGCCTCAGGCAGTGGCTGACTTTACATCTCCTTGGAGATCCAAGAGCCAGTGTACCCAGTGGTCAGGGTGAGATCATACCAGATTACAACTCTTCATATCCATAAGCAATACACTCAAGGGGCAGACTCAGTGAGCACCAAAGCACCACTGAAGCAAGCTCTGCCCCATAAGGGCATGTCCTGCACAGCAGTCCTTTCAGTAAACACAGCTGGTCCTCACAGCCAATTGACCTGGAGGTCAATTCCAATGATACCAACAGCAATCAAGACTTAACTACAACAAGACTGTGCACACAGCCTACAAAGGAGTGCACCCAGAGTGTCCACCTCAGGTGATTGGGGAGGCTGAGCCACTGGGCCCTATAGGACACCTACCACACAAGGCCACTCTATCAACACAGGAAAACAGCCAAAATGCAGAGACAAAGAAACATGTCATGAATGAAAGAAATGGAGGAAAGGAAACTACTGGATATAGAGTTCAAAACCACAATTATAAGGTTACTCAAGAGTCTTCTAAAAACCTCCGAGGAACTTAGTGAGACCTCCGAGGAACCTACTGAGACCTTCAAGGATCTTAGTGAGAATGCCAAAAAAAAGGAAAAGGAAAAGGACCAGTTGGAAATTAAGTGGACTGAAATAAAGAATAATATACAGAGATCCAACAGCAGACAAGAGGATCCCAAGAATCAAGGCAAATTTGAAATACAAAGAAACAAAAAATACCCAACCGAAAGAAGAGAAAAGAAAAGAGATTCCAAAAATATGAAGATAGTGTAAGGAGCCTCTGGGACAACTTCAAGTGTACCAACATCAGAATTATAGGGGTACCAGAAGAAGAGAGAGGGCAAGATATTGAAAACCTATTTGAAGAAATAATGACAGAAAACTTCCCCTACCTGGTGAAAGAAATAGA